TTGGAACATTGTCCTGTACACCGATCATACAATTTAAAAAGTGGTTTCAATGCATATCAGAGTATTTATTTAATCAAGTAGCATTTTGCTTGCCTAAATTTAAGGATCCAAGTTGAGATCTTGTGCAGAATCCATTAACCGAATCTTGGTGTTTTCTTGATTTCATTGTCAGGTTTCTTTGTGGGGTTTTTTTTTGGGGGGGGGTGTTAATTATTTTCTCAGCACTATTAATTTATTTTGCTCTTAAATTTTTTCAATCTTTATGTCTAAAATCAGTTGGTTTGGCCCTGGCCAGTGTGTCTCGGTTGGGCGTCGTCCCGTGCACTAGGAGGTTGCCCATTCGATTCCCAGTCAGGGTACATACCCACATTTTGGGTTCAATCCCCAGTAGGAGCACTTGCAGGAGGCAAACAATTAATGTTTTGTTTTTAAAAATATATATTTTATTGATTTTTCACCGAGAGGAAGGGAAAGGGATAGAGAGTTAGAAACATCGATGAGAGAGAAACATCGATCAGCTGCCTCCTGTACACCCCCTACTGGGGATATGCCTGCAGCCAAGGTACATGTCCTTGACCGGAATCGAACCTGGGACCCTTCAGTCCACAGGCCAATGCTATCCACTAAGCCAAACCGGTTAGGGCTAATGTTTTGGTTTTTTTCTCTCTCTCTCCCGCCCTCTAAAATCAATTTGAAAATAAAAAATAAAATTGGTTGGTTTATAGAAGCCTTCTATTTCATTATGTTCTTGATTTGTCAGTTCTTAATTTGTAGGATAGCTCAATACTATTGAGCTAATATTGCCACCTTGCTGTAAGTGCTGAGTTCACTACTCATTTTATTTGCCAAGGATACATGCCCGCTTGTATTCTGGTTGATAAATTGCACAAGATTTTGGAACAAAAAAAACATCCTCATTAGCAGTCACCCCCATTCCCCAGACCCTGACAACCTTGGACCCACTTTTTGTCTGGATTTGCCTGTTCTGGACATTTCACATAAATGGAATCACACTGTATAGCCTTTGTGTCTGGCTTCTCTCACTGAGCATCATATTTTCAAGGTTCATTCACGTAGCAAGTGTCAGTGCTTCACTCCTTTTCATGACTGAGTAATATTCCAGTGTGTGGATTGACCACGTGGTGTTTGTTCATTAACTGTTGTACACTTGGGTAGTGTCCACCTTTTGACCATGCTGCTGTGAACAGGTTTTGTGCAGACATGTGTTCAGTACCCAGGATGTGTACCTACAAAGGGAATTGCAGGGTTATATGGAAACTCTGGATAATCTTTCCGGAAACTGCCAGATTGTTTTCCAAAGTGGCTGCCCCATTTTGCATTCCCATGAGCCCCATACAAAGATTCCAGCTTCACATCTGTGTGCCCATCCCAGTGGGGGTGAGCAAGGCCAAGTCTTTCTGTGGTTAGGAGTCATTTTCCCCAATGACTGATGTATCTTTCACATGCTCATGGCTGTTTTGCATATTATCGTTAGATAAATGTGTATTCAGGTCTTTGCCTTTAGTTTAGTTGGGTTGTTTGTGTTTTTATTATTGAGGTGTAAGAGTTCTTTATTCTAGATACAAGTCCCTTAATAGATACATAATTTGCAAAAATTACCTCAATTTGTTTATTTCTTAAATTCCCAGTTCTAGGTATATTTATTTACACAGGCCTTAAATCAGTGGTTCTCAGCCTTCTGGCCCTTTAAATACAGTTCCTCATGTTGTAACCCAACCATTAAATTCTTTTCGTTGCTACTTCATAACTGTAATGTTGCTACTGTTATGAATCGTAATGTAAATATCTGATATGTAGGATGGTCTTAGGCAACCCCTGGGAAAGGGTCGTTCGACCGCCACAGGGTTCGCGACCCACAGGTTGAGAACCGCTGCCTTAAATCCTGGGGTTTGCTTTTGGGCACCCTGTGATCCAGGATGTCATTCCCCTCCCTCCCCCCAAACAATGATCTCAGCATTGTGGAGTATGTGGAGTATCTGGCAGATCCTTTGATGGCCTCCCTGGATTGCCTCTTCCATGTAGACTCACAGACGGTTTGTTTCAAGATTCTTCCAATGCTCAATTTAGGTTTTAAAAAGTAGTGTTTTGTAGTATGTCTAATGGTAAAACAAGTCTCCTTTTCCTCCAAATGTCCACATTCCAAAATGAGCCAGGCACAGAGCACTGTGATTCCACTCACAGGAAGTCCCTAGAGGAATCAGACTTAGAGACAGAAAGTAGATGGTGGGAGCCAGGGGCTGGGGGAGAGGGAAAGAGATTTAGTGTTTAATGGGACCGAGTTCCAGTTTGGGAAGATGAAAAAGTTCTAAGATGGATGGTGGTGATGGCTGCACCATGTGAATGTGCTAATGTCATTGAGCTGTGCACTTAAAAATGGTTAATATGGTAAATTTTATGTATATTTTACCACACACAACATCTTGGTTATTCCTTAGTATTTACTCTTTCAATGAATAGAATCGGTTCACGATGTCTGTGGCAAGTCCTTTGCTGTGGTTGGTGTGCTCTGTCTCTGAAGCTGGTGAAAACCTGCTTTGTCCCTTTGTGAAGGGTCCCAGACGCCCTTGGTTAGGTTTCCAGCTGCAGAGGCCTGGGCATTATTGTCACCTGTGGGGGCACCGGTCTCTGTGCCCTCCTCCCAGCAGCACCTGGCTCCCCTTTATTTCTTAGAGACCTCATTCTGCCTATGCCACCAAGACAGCCTGTCCCAAGTTCTGAGATTGGCTCAGGGTGGCTCCCTGCTCTGTGACACCCACCGTGGGATTCCTGGGGGACAGGTGGGATGAGGTCGAGACCTGGCACTTACATAGTTCCCCGCCACCAGGACATGAAATTGGCCTACCCTGTGAAGGTGCCTTTAACAAGTTGGAGGCCAGTGTTTGCAGACCCATCAGGTTCCAGAGGTGCTTTTGCATCTAAGAATGGGGTGCTTTACATGACATTTGCTTTCTGACTAATGCCGATAGTGAAAAGCTGCTGTCTAGCTGAACTCTTGACTATTAGTTTCAGCTGTTAATTCTCCTATCCTTTAAAAAATGTAGATAAAAAAAAAAGTAGATCAAAATGTACATGTCTTTTGTGTAAAGGGCCAGATAATAAGTGTTTTCAGAGTTCAATGACCCACCTCTCTAGGGCACAAGTGGCGTACAAGGTGGCATGTCACCAAGAGTGTGTGGCTATGTGCCAACTAATCTTTGCCCAAAAACGGTACCGGGCTGCAGTGTGCTGGCGCGTGGTGTCCTGTTCTGGCTTTCTTAGGAAGTTTCTGCAGAGACGAGGCCTGCTGTTGCAGTGCCCTGACTGACTTGTCACGGCCACTTAGCTATGCCTGGGGTGTGCTGTGGTTTTGGGGGGCTGTTTTGTATCAGGAGGGGAAGCCCTTGCTCCCTGGCTGCTTTTGTTACAAGTGCGTGTGGATTCTGCCTAATTCTCCTGCACTGAATTAAAAGTTGGGGCTCTTCCACACTCTGACTCCATAGCCCAATGGTACCAATGTCAGGCCACTGGGCTGTGGAGTCGTGTGTGGTGACTGTCAACAAATGTAGCTTCTCAAAAACTCAGTTGGGGTGGAAATTGAATAGCGAATGTTCTGACTCTTCTTAGTAAATGCCTGTCAAAATCATTCAGAAGCTCTAAGTTATAGAATTTTGTTATTTGTAAATCACAGAAGATGGAACATACTTAGAATTTTTCATCCCAGGATTTTAAAGTGACTTTTCAATGTATTGACAGGTATTTTCATAACTTCTTGTAGAGAGATTATAAAAATAAAAATAATTACTTAATGAAAAAAGCTTAAAGCAAAATTACCGTTAACAGTATACATGTACATTTTGTGTGTTAACATTAAGTTCTTCATTTGTACACCGCAAACCGATGAAATTTAAACAAGAGAGCCAGGGATGTGTTTTTTGCCTCCAGTGGAGTAGGGAGCAGCACTTTAAGAGATTTCCAGACAAAAGGGAAATGCCACCCGAAGAGTTTTAGATTTTGTTTCTGGTAAAAATGGTAGGGCAGACTAGTCAACTGATCAGAGACAAACTAAAGGGAAGGACCAAGTTCTATTATTTAATACATTTTAAACAATAGATGCTTCTCTGTATCTGGATCTGTTTTTGTTCATCAGTTTATGTTGTTCATTATATTCCACAAATGAGTGAGATCATGTGATATTAATCTTTCTCCGACTGGCTTATTTTGCTTAGCATAATGCTCTCCAGGTCCATCCATGCTGTTGCAAATAGTAAGAATTCCTTCTTTTTTACCACAGTGTAGTATTCCATTGTGTAGATGTACCACAGTTTTTTAATCCACTTATCTGCTGATTGGCACTTAGGCTGTTTCCAAATCTTAGATATTGTAAATTGTGCTGCTATGAACATAGGGGTGCATATATCCTTTCTGATCGGTGTTTCTAGTTTCTTGGGATATATTCCTAGAAGTGGGATCACTGGGTCAAACGGGAGTTCCATTTTTAGTTTTTTCAATACATTTTTTAGAAAAGGAAATGCAGCTGGCAGCTGGTACTCGAATAGCACAGATGAAGTGTGTTTTTCGTCTTCTGGAAGTTCTACTGGATAGTGCTGAGGCAGCGTTTATGGAGGTGGTTATCTCATGTACATGTTTGCATAGCTTGCCTCAAAGGCTCCCTGGGCTCACACCCCTCACTGGGCCATTTGGGGTAGACTTTCCTTCCTCACACCCTCCCCAGCGAGGAAGCAAAGGAACCCCATGTCCCGTCCCCCAAGTTGCCATTCAGATTAACAACTTTAAATGTTTTTTAAAATATATATATATTTTTTTATTTCAGAGAGGAAGAGAGAGGGAGAGAGAGAAACATCAATGAGAGATAAACACTATCAGCTGCTTCCTACATGCTCCCTACTGGGAATCGAGCCCACAATCTGGGCATGTGCCCTGACCAGAAATTGAAATGTGGCCTCCTGGTTCATGGGTCGACACTCAACCACTGAGCCACACCAGCTGGGCAGCAACTTTATTTTAAGCAAAATATGTACACATGTGAAGGGAGATCCCATCATGTACCTAAACCCCAGATGTCCAAACCCAATTCTGCCATCTGGTCCCTGACATTTGTCTGGCTGTCAGAGCGGCCTCCACAGCCCGGCAACCAAAAGTTATAGGTCAGGGCAGGTCCAAGGAGTGGCCAGCCCTGAGCAGAATGCTGGGGTCACTCAGGCAGTTCCTCTGTCCACAGAGCCCCATGGTGACTCCTGAGAGCAAAGTCCCCAGCTCAGCCAAGCGGGTCATGCAAAGGGGCACTGGGTGGACCATGGACTTGCTCCCGGAAGCTTGTGGAAAAGGTGGCTGTTGATGCCCTCACCACTGTGGGCCATTGCAGCCTAGGCACAGAGCCTGGCACAGTATGGCCAGGCCTGGGGACATGCACAGTGACAGGAGCCACAGCACAGGCCACCCAAGGTCCCAGCTAGACAAACTCGGGCCTGCTCTCCGAGCCAGTGCCTGCTATGACATGCCTGTCACCATGCTTCATGGCGGGCAGCGGACTCTCAGCTACATTGTTGGACTGGTTGGTGTTGTACTGGGACAGCCCCTCCCAGTCACCATCCTCCCCAGCTGAGGGTCCCAGCTGCTCCTCACTGCCGCTGTCCCCAGCCTCCTCCGCGCTGGCCTCACTGCCCTGCTTCTCCAAGAAGCTGAGGTGGTGCAAGGCTCCCCCCTCTGCCGGGGACAGCAGCTCTGGGGCCTCCTCCAGTTCTGAGTCAGAGTCATTGGAGGCAACATGGGATTCTGGTAGGTCTGTGAGAGGGAGAGACAGAGGGAGAGACATGAGACAGAGGGAGAGACAGGGAGAGGTATCTCCCATTGAGCTCCCTAGGCCGATCCACTCACCTGGGCCTCCGTCCTCAGCCTCTTCCTGCAGGGGGAAGGCAGCCTCCTCGTTGGCCTCCGAGTAGGGTACCTGGAGCAACACCTCAGCCCGCTGGGTGGGCATCCCATACTGCAGGGGTGGCAGGGAGGTCAGGGAGGGGCCTGGAATCCAGCCCGTCCAAGCTCCATTTTCTGGCTTGTAAATTGGCCACATTTTTTAAATCTCTAACAGTTGTCACCACCCGCTGCATCTGAGGCTGAGGGCCCTGTTCCCATGTCATGAGTGACAGCTCTCCCAGCAGGGGCAGCAGGCTCTGGCAGTTGGGTTGGGTCCTGCAGGGACAGCCAGCAAGGACACTGATCCTGAGGCCACACCCAATCTTGTCTCTGGAGACCAGGGACCTGTTGCCCAAACCCCAAGAGATGCCTAAAGACATAAAGACTCAGGCAAAGGGACTGAATACTAGAGCAGGGCCCTGGCCAGGTGGCTCGGTTGGTTGGAGCATTGTCTTGTACGCCAAAAAGTTGTGGATTTAATTCCCAGTCAGGATGTGTATGAGAGGCAACTGATTTTTCTTAGAGAAACATCGATGTGAGAAACGAGTTGCAGGCTCGATCTCCCCGTAGGGGGCATGCAGGAGGCAGCCAATGAATGATTCTCATCATTGATGTCTCTTTCTCCCTCTCCCTTCCTCTCTGAAATCAGTAACAAAACATATCCTCAGGTGAGAATTTAAAAATATATATACTAGAGCAGGGGGCTGTTTGGACACACAAACCTGCAGAAACAAAAACTGTTGGCTTAAAATGAAGACCCAGCAGCCAGGTAAAGTAGCAAGTTGGACCCAGCCAAGGGTCTGGCTGTAGGGCACAGGATGAGCCAACGCCTCTGCACTGAGTGGGGTATCCCCCAGATTTGAGCCCACACTTTGCTTAAAGGACCCCTTGGAGGCTGTCCCTGTGGAAACCAGACACTTCCCAGTCCTCCCCCATCTGCATCCCCCCATGAGCAGACCCTTGCACCTTCCCCTGATCCACCTGCCACCTCACCTGTCCCCTGTTCTCTTCAGGCTTCTCCTCGAAAACCAGGTCATAGTGGGTGATGAGGGTCTCCACGATGCGGGCCTGGTGGGGGTAATCGACCAGGGAGGACAGGGACACGGTGGCCTCTGTGGGCCGTGGCCGCAGCAGCGTGGGCCCGAACACAATGCCTAGATTCCCGGGGGTCATCTTGTTGTCCTGCTCTACCTCCACAATCCTGAGGAGTCGAGGGGTGCAGAAGCAGGTGAGAGTGGCTCCCTGGACCCAGCCACCCTGGACCCCTGCCTGGCTGACCCTCACCTGCGCAGGTGCTGCAGCAGGTACTGCAGTGAGGCCTTGTTCTCGGATGGCAGGTCACGCAGGAGCTCCCGCAACCGGCCTACCATAGCCATGGCCACAGCCTCGCTCTCAGCCGTATCCGGACAATTCCGGGACGCTGCCTTCGCTTCAGCCTCTGCCTTCAGACTGTCCTTGGCCAGCCCCACAAGCTCATGGTAGAGGCGGAAGGAGATGAGTGGCTCAGGCAGCTGCCAAGTGACAGGTGGGGGCAGGAGGAGTGGGGATGAGGGGTGTCATCAGTGATCCTGGCCCAGTCCCCTCCTGTCCTTCCCTGGCCATGCCCCTAGCATCAGCCCGACCCCTGCCAGGTGCTGGTCCCACCCCAACCCATAACCAGATCTGCTCCTGCCCTGGCCTAGCAGCCCACAACCCCAAGAAGCCCCGCCCCTGCCAGGCACAGGTCCTGCCCAGTATCTGCTCTTCCCCCATGGGGCTCACCTGGCGCAGGTAGAGTTTAAGGACATTGCTGATGTCGTGGGGCGAGGCCTGCGACAGCTCCACCAGCTCCTTGCCGTTTTCGAAGGCCTGGCACAGCTTCTCCACACGCGTCTTCACCCCATTCACCCGGTATATGCCCTGTGGGGGTCCACGGTCAGCCTCAGCCCACACCTGCCTCCCCTCCCTGTGCTTCTAGGATGAAGCCCCTGCTGCTGTCCCCACAGTAGTCACCTTCGTGCGCAGAGCCCGCCGCTCGATCTCACAAACACACTTCTTGACAATGAAGGGCACGCCATCGGGAGTGCCACGGGCTGCCTGGCCGAAGTCCTGGCCAAAGAGCTGCAGGCGGCCCTGAAGCTTCTTGTGTCCACACTGGATGGCCAGGGTCTCCAGACACTTCTTGTGGCAGGCCAGGCAGCACTGGGGGCAGTGCACAGTGAGCAGAGAGCCTGGGTCCCCCTTCCCTCCTCCCTGAAGCCCTTATGACCCACTACCCCACAGGGCAGTTTCTGAAAGACAGTCTCGATGGTCACTCCCAGAGTCCCCTGTGCTCCACATGGGCCCTTCTAGCCATCCCTGGGGCCCCCACTCACCTCCTCGCACTCGGCGCCATGGAAGTAGACATAGCTGTTGCACTCCCGGCACTTGGCTGGGGAACGGAGCTTTCGGAGCCTGTGAGTTCGGGCTGCCTTGGAAAGTCCCATGTGGCGGAAGGGCCCACTGGGCACAGCCACTGGAAGCTCAGGGGTCATGCCGTTGAGGTCAGCTGGGGGTGGGACAGGTGGTCATTGTCGCCAAGGCAGGTCAGGACCAGGCCCACAGGCAGAGTCTAAACCCTTCTCCCCTTACTGCCGGGGTCAGAGGCCCCTTACCCTGCTCAAAGGCTGATGCCCCTGCACTGCCCTCCTGGTCCACCAGCTCCTCGCTGGATGACATGGTGCCGCTGGACGACATCCGTTCAAACTTCTTAAAGTCCCCTGAGCAGGAAATAGGGATGTCAGATACCCCAAGCCCAGAGGGAGCAGCATCTGGTTGGCCAGCTGTTCCCCCAAGGGCCCTCTCCATCACCCTGACCACATGGTGAGCTGTCCCCAGCCAGCAGGGCAGGTCCTTCACCTGAGCCAGGGCTGGGGTCCAGACTGCCATCAGAGTCTGGGATGGAGGTTGGCCATGACTTGTGCACCTGGTGTCCACGCCCACCTGCAGAATGGGGCATCTAGTGAAGGGCTGAGTGGGGCTGAGAAGGGCTGGAGGGAGGCCTCACCCACCCCATAATCCTGCCAGGCACCCACCCCCACTGGGCACTCACCCCTGCGCTCCTTGGCAAGCATCCCATCGCTGGGTCCACCTTCATCAGGGGGGCCGCTAGCAGCCTCCGCAGCATCACCAACATTGAAGCTGCCTTTCCGGGCACGCATGACAGGGGACCTGGTGGGGATAAAAGCCAGAAAGAGGAGCCATGATGGGGGTCAGAGAGGCCTCATCATGCTTACCCCCATCTCAGGTGCGAAGCTGGCTCCCAGGGCACGTGCACACAGCCATACCAGTTGCTCGTGGGGACATGAGGCTCAAAGTCATAGTGCACATCAGGCTCCTCATCACGCTGCAACTGGCGCACGTGGGAGGCGTACTGCTGGCCCGGATCATAGAGCTTGCTGCTCTCACACAGCATCTGGAAGTGCACAGGCAGCGGGGCCGTCTGCATGTGCATCATCTGGTAGTAGGAGATGGTCGCCTGAGGGAGATGGGGCATAGGCAGTGAGGTCAGCAGTTTGCACGGGTAGCTGCGCAGCCTGCCAGCAGCCAGAGCCTGGGAGCACCTGGCACCCACCGACTTGATGGTCTGGTCACTCTGCCGGATGACCTCCTGGATCTGTCGAAGCGCCGTCACCTTGGTGTCCTCCAGCTCCTGCTTCTGTGTCTTGGCATCCGCCACACAGGTGCGGTATGTGGCCATGGCTTCCTCTGCCTGGGGTGGGGGTAGGGGGTGCACAGAGAGACCTCAGCCTGGGATTCAAGACCCACACAGAAACCCAGCCAGCAGAACGGTGGGAGGGCTTTCCCGGCAGAATGGAGGTGGGGAACTTCACACAGTGTGTGAGAACTGCCCCTCCCACTCACACCCACCTTGTTCTTGGCCTCCTCTTCCAAGCGCCGCCGCTTGTCCAGGGCCTTGGAGACTGTGCCCCCTGCTCCAGGCCCAGTGCCCACCTGCTCCTCCTCCGTCTTGGCCACCAGCAGGCGGGCCTTGTCATGGTCCTCACAGCGCTGCACGTAGCCCTGTTTGGCCTTGCGAAGGTTGGACTCTGCCTCTTGCTGTGGGCGTGGAAGCAAAGAGACCATTTCCAAACTGTCCTTCAACTGAGCTGGGTCCTGGCTTTCCCCACTTCCCACCCCAGCAGCCAGATACCGAGTCAGGCACCACCACCACCCACGTCCCATGGTAACATCCCATGGCCCAGTGGGCAAACAGGCACCTGCCCAAGAACTGACAGTAGAAGAATAGGAGGTGCCAGCTATCATGGGACGCCAGGAGGAACTGGATCGATCTGGTGTGCCCATCTGACAGCCCGGGAAGCTGAGGCATAGCTAAGCTCTGAACGAGGCACAGCCTTCATCCGCCCCTGACACCTATACCCACCCCCGTCAGAGCGGCTGGTGACGCACACGCTCTTTCACTTCCCCTCTCAGAGAGAACAGTGCAGCCGCCCAGGCAGGAAGTCAAGCACCCTCTGGGTGGGCAGGAAGGCACTTAGTCAAAACCCATGGGCCTTCTGGGGCCACACCTTGCAGCCTGCACCTTCAAAGGCTTAAAGGTAAAGAACTGGTATAGGTACTAGGAGAAACCACGGGGGGATTTTTTAAATAAAAAATTTCGGTGCAAGACACAAAACCCAGAAACCATAAAAGAAAAGACTATTGCCCTGGCCAGTGTTGCTTAGTGCTTAGAGCGTCGGCCCATGCACCAAAGGGTCATGGGTTTGAGTCCCAGTCAAGGGCACATATCTGAGTTGCAGATTCAATACCTGGCCCCAGTTGGGGCGTGTGCAGGAGGCAACCAATTGGTGTACCTCTCTCACATGGATGTTTCTCTCCCTGCCCCCCCCCATCCCTCCCTCCCTTGCTACTCTCTGTAAAAATCAATGGAAAAAATATCTTCGGGTGAGGATTAACAAAAGAAAAGACTACTGCTGGCAATCACAGGTTTCTACCTGGTAAAATAGGCCAAGGAGTGGATCTTAACACACACCATCAGAGGCTGAGTTCTTTAATATGTAAAGAGCTCTGGCAAATCAATAAGAAACAGACCACAGTCCAATCCAGAGGGAGCAAAGGATATGGACCAAGCTTCACAAAAGGGGGGAAAGTGCAGCTCTGGTTTGAGGGGGTAGCTCGTACACTCACACCCCAACCCAGCCATTCCCTTTCAGGCAGAGATCTGAAATAAATGCTTGATCACATATCCAAAAGAGGGCACAGGCTTGTCACAGCAGTGGTGTTTGAAACAGCAACAGCTCAGCAACAATTAAAATACCCATCAATAGAGATTTAGTGAAATAAGTCACGTGATCTCTGCAGCTAAGCACCTGTAAAGAGCCTGGGAAAAGGGAGGAGGGTGGATTGAGGTGGAGCACTCCTCTGGATGTGGGGTGAGTGTAAGAGACCAGACAAGTGCTCAGTAAGATGTCAACGAGTGTACAAGAGGCAGGAAACCACAGTTTGGTGCAGGTCCATGCCTGGGACTGCACCAGCTCAGAGGCCAGCCCGCCCCACCCTTACCCGCCCGCCTGCCTCCCAAGGTACCAGCTTCCTCTGGGCACGGTGCCAGGACTCCTTGATTTCCTTCCTGCGCTTCTCGTGCTCAAGCCGCCGCAGGTTCAGGGGCTGGGGTGAGATGGGCCGTGAGCAGGAGACCCTGGTAACCCCCCTCCTCGCCCAGCCTCCGGGGGGCAGCCCACCTGCATGAAGGTCTGGGTCTGCAGCGTGATCACTGCCTGCGCCAAGCCGTGGCCGAACTCCAGGTCCTGCTCCAGGGCCAGCGAGTAGATGGACAGGAGGGGCATGTGGGGCTTTTGGAGAGGGCGGCAGTTAGATGGGTGGGACAGCACCCAGGCCCTCCTGGAAGCCCTCCCTGGTTCCCTCGGGTTCCCTCAGCCACCTCCATAGCATAGACAGGGAGCCCCTTCCTTTTGGCCCTTCTCAGTTGCAGGGACTCACACCCAGGCCCGTGGCCCCACCTCCTGCATGACGCTCTGTCTGCAGTTGTGGACAATCTTCTGCAGGCCTTTGGCAAAGTCCATCTCTGCAGGGCAGAGAAGAGGAGTCAGTGCAGAGGGGAGGGGAGTGAGCAAGGGGTACGTGAGGGGAGGGGGTCCCCTGGCAGATCTCACCCCAGGCCAGCACTCACCCAGGGCAGTCCGCTTCTCCAGGTAGCCAATGAGGTCCTTCATGTACTTCGCCATGTTCTTAGCGTAGTTCAGGGCCACATCTACGCCTCCCTCACAGCGTTGCAGCAGCATGTCCACCTCCTCGGGCAGCAGGCAGCCTGCAGAGCGGCCTCTCAGCCCAGGCTCCACCCTCCAGCACACCCTCAGTCCCAGTCCTCTGCCCCTCCACCCACCATTCAAGCAAATGCCCGCCCAGTGTGTGTGGCTCAGAGACTCACCAGCATCACAGTCCTCAGCGCAAGGGAGGGCGCCCTCACTTCCCTGTCCGTACAGGTTCTCCATGGACTGTGCAGGGGGAGTGCAGGTGAGCCCAGCCCTGTGCTGGGTCCCAGGTGATGTCCACCCATCAGGAGACCATCACCGCCCCCAGACAGAGAAGGCCATCCCTGCTCACCTGGCTCGAGTCCCCAGGGGGCACTGACAGGAGGGTGCTGCTGTCCACTTCACCCATGAGGAACTCGGACACGCTGCAGGGTCAGGGCTGTCAGTATCCAGAGGTACAAGGGCCCCACACACCCCTGCTCCCGCCCACAGGGCCCGCGCTCACGTGCTGCTGAAGGAGACGGCAATGGTCTCCAAGGCCTTCTCAAACTCTTGCTTGTCTGCCTCGTTGTTGCACTCGTAATGGAAGGCTGGCGGGCAGAGACAAGGACGAGGAGGCTTGGCTCACTTTGGGATGGGACCACCCCTACAACTAAGTGAAGGGGGCCCTGAGCCCAGGGAAATCATTGCAGCAAGTGTGCCCACCAAACTCCTAGCTATCCTTCAAAACCCACTTTAAACACCCCCTCCTCCAGGAAGCCCTTCCAGGCAGAGAGCCCTTGCTGCTCTGTCCTGGCCAGCTGACCTTTGACCTTGGCAATGAGGGTGCCCGCAGCTGTGAGCGTTTCCACAGTGTTCAGCAGTGGGTACTTGCAGATGACCTGGCGCATCACTCGTAAGGCCTCGCCCAGGCACTCATGGGCCAGCGGCCGGCGGGCCTCCAGGAGATCTGCGGGCAGAGCAGGTATGAGCAGGGAGGGAGTGGGTGGCCCCAGAGACAACCTGCCCATGTATTCCTCAAAGATCCTGTCCCCAGGTGGGAAAACTGAGGCAGAGGTGGGAGGGGGCAGCTGCCCGAGGCTTACTATGGGACGTCAGGTAGGGCACTGTCCCTCTCTTGGCTGCTGGCCAGGGCAACAAAGGCCAGACCTTGGCCTAGGCAGTCCCTTCTGCTCAGAACACTTTCCTCATCCCTCCAGAAAGCAAACTGCTTGTCCTTCAAGTTGCAGTCCTGGTACCTCCTCCTTCCTGCAGCCCACCTGGCCCCTTCCCTGCCCCAACCCTTCAGGGCTGCTCAAGGCTCTATCCAGCTCTCTCCCTTCCCTGCCTGCCTGGATACCAGGCCTCAGGCACCCTGTTATCTCACACTCTCCCAACAGCCGCCCCATGACACAGGCACTGTCATCATCCCCATTTTGCAGATGAAGAAACTGAAGCACAGAGAGGGAAAGTCATTTCTCAAGGATCACACAGCTTTTCCACCTACACTATGTTTGAAGGCATGAGAGCGACACACAGAAGGACCCTGCCTGGCTTTATCTCCAGGGCAAAGGGGAACCCTAGGCCAGTGATGGTGAACCTATGACACGCCTGTCAGAGGTGACACGCGAACTCATTTTTTTGGTTGATTTTTCTTTGTTAATGGCATTTAAATATATAAAATAAATATCAAAAATATAAGTCTTTGTTTTACTATGGTCGCAAATAATAAAATTTCTATATGTGACACGGCACCAGAGTTAAGTTAAGGTTTTTCAAAATGCTGACACGCCGAGCTCAAAAGCTTCGCCATCACTGCCCTAGGCGGTGTTGGAGCACAGGGGGTCAAGGTTAGCTCTGTATCTTAGAACTGTGGTTTTAGATACTCTCTTCAGATGTTCTGAAAAGCAGCATGTGCAGGCAGAACAGTGTGTGCAAAACACACCAATAAAAACAAAACCGTAGCAGTGTCTGTAAGGGGAGGGGACAACTAGATGCTAAGACCCAGGAGGCCTGGGGGCCGGCTGGGATGACAGCTCTGACACCTGTTGGCCTTCTGTCTCTGTGCCTGGTGGGCCTGCTCAGAACATAAGTGGAACCTGAAAATAGGCCCGACCCTTTTCAGCACTGAGGACCCCTTGGGATGGCCCTCGTGCCTTGAAACCTGGGGGGTCCTGACACCGAAGCCAACTCAGAGCCATAAAGGGGCTTCAGGAATCCAGGGAAGATGCCGGGGAAAGGCCAGGCCAGGCCCCTTCCCAGGACATTCCTTCCACACACCTGGCCCCTCGCCCTTGTATTGCCTGGCCTCAGCCACCCGGGTCCCTGCAGCACCCCCACCCGGAAGCTGACGCCAGGGAAGCCGACTCCAGAGAAGCCTGGACATGTTCAGCTTGGCATGGCCAAGCCAAGTGCAGCAGCTGCTGCGTCCCCAAGCGCCATGTGCTCCCAGAGGGCTGGGGACCCCGCTCCCTGCTCTGTCCCTTCACCTCGGGGTCCCATGCAGCAGCATACTGGTCCCCAAGACAACACACAATATGCTGAGAACACCTGGTAACAGTCACTATAAGCCTCAGGTATCTTATCTGTGAATCAGGGCAACCATAAGCCCTGAGCGTATAGTTGCCCTGATTCACAGATAAGACACCTGAGGCTTAGAGAGGGAGGCAGCTGGTCCAAGGTCTCACAGCTGGACAAGCAGGGGCAGCACAGGATTCAAACCCACATCCCCGCCGCTCCAGTCTCTTTCCCAGGCCCAGGACGCCTGAGGCATGATGAAGTGTGTCCCCAACCCTATCCCAACCGCCTCCAGGACTCAGCCCCACCCAGACCAGGCCTCCAAGGAAGTGCCAGAATAGGAAAGGAACCGAGATTAGCGAGTTTCCCCAGGAAAGAGCTCAGGCCCTGCCTCTGTGACCAGATAACCTTGGGGGTTCCCACTCCCACCCAGAAGGGGCTGGGCCTCTACACAGAGCTCCTCGTTAGCGCCCTGAAGACACAGAGGCCACTCAGGCTGAGGCTGGATCTGGCCCTGACCCCTCCTTAGCTGGGTGAGCCGGAGATCAGTGCCCCACTCCTGGCCTCAGTTTTCCCATCTATAAAATGGGTGCCTAGGGGGAGCTGGGCAGAGCACTTGGTGTGGTCTTGGCACTGTGGTTTCCGGGAGGAGCAGGCAGCACACAAGGTGCTGTGCCTGCCTGGTTTGAGGTGCCTGCCAGGGACAAACAGGAAACAGATGAAAATAACTCAGCAGGAAGCCAGGCTGTCAGTCTTGTGGAGGAGAAAACGGAACTGCCATCCCACAAGCTGCTCCCTCCTGCAGCTCACATGCTGTCCTTCCTGCCCCTTGTCCCTTCTGACTCTCTCCATCAGACCTCAGCCTGCCTCTAGCCCACCTCGGCCCAACACACAAGTCCGACCGCTGCTCTAACACACTCTGTGGATCCCCACTGCCCTCAGGATAATGTCCAGGATCCTTCTCCCTGTCATCCTCAATCCCTTCAGCTTCACACACTTCATATACCAGCAAATCTCGTTCCTCCAAACACAACTCCATTTCATGTTTCTGAGCCAGTGCACATGACGTCTCCTCTGCTTCAATGCCTTGCCCTCCTAGTTTCCACCAAACTCCTACACATCCCTGAAAGCCCTAGCTGCAGCGGTTGCTTCCATAAAGATCCCCTTCTGAGCCTCCCCAAGTCCTCCTCTTTACCTTGCCTGGATCCCACCGGGTTTGGGGTATCTGTATCTACCTCAGTCTCCCCCCCCCCCCCCCCACTGGGCTCAGATTCAGGCGGGTCTCTCCATTAGTAAAATTATTTTCTTTGATTTCTAAGGGCCCTGGCGAAAATTGTACTCTTACATAGGTCTGGGATATATCTCCCACGGTTTCGTACGGGCGCACTTATCTGTGGGGATTGTCATATACCACCTTTCCCCCTCTTCCTTAGGATCCTGTTTCACGCTCTGTGAATAGGATA